GCTATGATGTAAGTGGTATCATGTTGATATATCTCTTTTACCAGAAAGGAGTAAAAGACAGATGGAAACATAAAAAAAAATAGAAAGACAACAGGACAGAAAAAGAAAACAGCTATGAAGCACAGAGGTGAATAAATGATAAGTCCAGGTCTTTGGTAATGCTCTGGTGAGTGATGACTTTCTGTCCCAGTCTGGGATAAATGGCTCATCAGGGACAAGAAGCTCCAAGCCTGAGTTCGAACTTGAATACTCGGTACATTCTTCCTGACTGTTGTTTTTATTTTTATATTTTTGCACAGACTGTGAGTTATTAGGCCATCTTTTAACAGCTATATAGTCGTCAATCAACATATTAGACAAACAGCATTGTGTCAGATTTTATGGTTCAGTTAAATTTTCACTTTTTGTGTCCGATAATTACCATAAAGGTGTATTTTAAAGTCGGTTCTGACTTTCAATGCTCCTTGGCTAAAAGATGCACCAACAAGGCCAGGATTAAAGAGATCTTGTGATCCCAGAGTACTGTATTATTCAGACTATAAGGCACACTTAAAATCCTTTAATTTTATTAAAAATCAACAGTGAGTCTTATAATCAGGTGCACCTTATGTATTAATTCTGGTTGTGCTTACTGACCTCGAACCAATTTTATGTGGTACAACTAAACAATGTTGAGTTATTGTGAATGAGTTGAATAAAGTTTGACTTATCTGACTGTTTTATTTACTTAGTGCGCCTAATGTATGAAAACAGACCCGTTCATTGATATTGCGCCTTATAATCCGGTGCGCCTTATAGTCCAAAAAATACGGTAGTCCAATTGATCTTTTTTTGTTTGTTTGTTTTGGTCTATTTGGTTTTCTTTTTATGAGACAGTACAGGGATTTTCTGTAAATTGCATTTTTAGAGGCAGAATCTACCGTTCAGTTGTCTAAAAAATTGCAAAACAAAATATTTAAAATCACATTTTTATTTATTTCAGAGCTGAACGCTGTAGGTGTGACATGTGTAACTGCATTGCTCTAATATATTCACCCAAAACCTTGCATTTTCTTTTGCCAGGTGTTTCATCAATGTTCCCAGTAAAATAAACCACTTTTGTGGTTTTGCATAATCCATCCATCCATCCATTTTCTTTACCCGTTTATTCCATTTTGGGTCACGGGGGTCGCTGGTGCCCATGTCCAGCAATCACTGTGCGAGGGGCGGGGTACACCCTGGACGGGTCGCAAGTCCATCACAGGGCCACATAGAGACAAACGAGACAAACAACCATTCACGCTCTCACTCACACCTAGGGACAATTTAGAGTTACCAATCAGCCTAACATGCATGTTTTTGGTCTGTGGGAGGAAACCTGAGTACCCGGAGAAAACCCACGCATGCACGGAGAGAACATACAAACTCCACCCAGAAAGGCCCCTGGACCGGGGTTTGAACCAGGGACCTGCTCACTGAGAGGCAGCAGCTCTACCAGTTGCGCCACCGTGCTGCCCGGTTTTGCATAATTTAGCCCATTAACTGCAAATTGTGTGTATGTAACATTTCTGCACACCACTTCCCAATTGTGAACTCTTGATCTGCACTTTGTCTTTGCTCTAACAAAATAGAAACTTCACCATTCATAACAGTCGTCATGCTTTTACTCTTATCTTGACTACTCTCAGATAAATATGTGTCCTAACTGGAGATTTTACATTTATCTGTTGCACAACCAAATAAGGTCAAGAAAAGAGGCACTGAGGATGTTCATCTTCCTGCTTTATGGCATTACAGAAAAAGAGGAAACAAACATTTAATTATAAAACAGGCTCGTTAACAACTAACTCGCAGTAGACAATATCATCCAAAATCTTTCTTAGATGTGAAAAACATATATGGCAGCAGAACCAAAGTCAGGGAGACAAGCACCAGATGAATGTGTACAAGCTTTAAAGGTATGGGCTAGTGTCTGTACTCGTGTTCCTAAGTTCGAATATGTTTACCCCAGTTGGATGATGAAGAGTCCAACAAGGAATAGCTGAGCAGAAATGAGACGCGTGTGCTGTAAATCCAAAATACAAATGAAACATAAGTTTTTGAAATATGAGAATACCCTACTGGCTTGTGTAGTATAAACTGAGCTTTGGGATAATCATGTTAACAAAGCTTATTTTTGTGTTAAAGGGTCCACACCTAACACAGTTGCACTTTAACTTCGCTCAGGTCCTGTAAAGTTCTTATTAACCCATCCAGAAACTCACAAATAATGCTATATGTTACATATTTTACAAGCTATATGGAGAACTTGATACAAAAATGAGCACATGTGAGTTGTTTCAGTGTCTTGCCCAAAGGATTGGTGTGCAGTTCCTCTGAATGGAAGGCATCTCCCTACCACTGAGCCAACTAATGTTGCTTCACAATGAGATAATAGAGTTATCATCTGTTTCAAATCGCTGCTCTTTATCATTGTTGTCCTTAATTCTAGCCTTGGAGATCTGCTTTACATTCTGCTTTTCGATAGCATAAACACTTGTACAGTTTGAAACTACAGAAAAAAAATCTAATTGTTACATTTTTGCTTCATAGCTTTGTTTGTTTCTGTGACTAAACATTTGCACATTTTTCTAGAACCCTGTGCTCGTTTTGCTTTTTTATTCTAACGTGAAGAATCTGTGCCATGCTGCTTTTTTTTTTTTTTTTAAGTGCATGGAGAATCAGTCCTACTTTTAGTCTTGTTCCCATGAAAGTCTTAGTTTGAAAAAAAAAATAGAAGTGTGTTAATATATGTATACATTCATATTTCCTCTATTTCTCAAACAAAATGGAACAGTATTTGACTTTTGTTTTTATCTTTACGTGACAATGAAGTCAGTGGATGACCAGGTGAACAGTCAGGGGGTGTTGAGTCCTTTTAATTAAATTAAGTGGAAAGAATGGGGCCCTCATTTTCTGAGTTAGCCTGTGTGATCTTACAGAAAATCACCACAGGTGGCTAATCCATCACAGACTGACAAGAAGATACAAAGAACACTTCGACTTAAGTCTAGGGCCCAAATCCAGAACTCCCAGGTGTAAACACTGTCTGGCTAAAGAGGTTTAATGTGACCCCTTCAAATCCCCTTGTCTGTCAGTGATAATGCAGTGACTTAAGACCTTTAAGAAACTGTTCAACTACTCCTGGGCCTTAATTATGAATTTGAGTCAACATTTCGAGTCAAGGCGGTGGTGTTTCTGCTTATCGACAGCCAAACTGTAATGTTGACGACGTGTTGGAAGACTGTTGGAGGGCCATTGCCATCCAGCTGACTGCTATGGTGCTTTTGTCCTTTGTAAGGTTCAGGGCAAGTTCAGATCTGATGTGTAATACATTCTTCAAAGACATTTATATTTGTGCTTTTTTATTTTTTCATTTTTTTGCATGATTAGATGAGGGTGCAAAGGATCTACAGACAATCAGACATAAATGTAAATGGATTAGTGAATTTTGTGACAACTATTTAAAGAGGAGTGGTGCCGCAGAGGTTAGAGAAGGTGGGCCTGTGATCGGAAGATTGCTGGTTCAACTCCCGGTACTGACGACATCAAAATGTGGGTGGGATAGGTGAAGCACTCACACCTGCCTCCACCCTCAGTTGCTCCATTCTGGGCCCTTGAGCAAGTCCCTTAACCCCCAGCATCTGCTCCCCCGGGCATCCTAGATAGCAGCTGTCTGCACCACACAGAGGGCTGTGGTAGCACGGTGGGCTGTGGTTCTTCTGGAAGGGCAACCGGCGTAAAAATAATTACCAAATCTTTGTGCGACTTAGTTCTCTATGGCAACCCCTGAAGAAAGGAGCAGCCGAAAGAAGAAAAAGAAAGTGACAAATATTTAAAGAAAAAAGAAAAGAATTCAGATCTGACAGTAATATGATGTCAATCATTGTAGTAGTCATTGTATTTGTGTTTTTTGGTAGTTTGAATCAGTTTAGGTTTTCAGTTGAAATGAGAAGGCAGAAAGATTTGTAACTATGATAGTTGTTAGAGATTTTGTGATGAAAATGATCTACAGGTCTGTAAAAAACAACCTCCCATTTCAGAAAAAAATTAAGTTGTCACACCTAAACAAAAAGTCAAATCAAACACATACTATTGATCTGTTGCCTAAGTCAGGGGTTCCCAACCCTGGTCCTTGAGGAACACCATCCTGCACGTTTTAGTTGTTTATCTGGTCCGACACACCTGATTTTAATAAATGGGTGATTTACGGACTTCTGCAGAACATGAGGAGGTAATTAAACATCCGAACCAGGTGTGTTGGAAACATGCAGGATGGTGTTCCTCAAGGATCAGGGTTTGGAACCACTGGCCTAAGTAACTAAAACTGTATGACAACAAAAAAATAGTGTTTATTTTACAACTGATATGCTGTCTCTTTTAAAATTTCATTCACTTAAAGACAAAATTGTTTCACCTTGTTCGATCATTTGAAATGTTATGCTAATTTTGTCATTTGATCTTTCACAGTTCATTGAGCTGCCTCTTATTATTCCCAAAACTAATGGACAGTCTTGTTAAACCCTCTCTGATCTTCTCTTCCTTCTCTTTTCTCTCTTTCTCCAAATGTCCTCAGTTCCCTTCCTCTGTATCCATGGTTACACAGCACCACCAGTACTTTTGCCAGTTTTCCAAACACACCATTTGGTGATTTTCAACATTTTCTGTGTGCTACAGGACTGTGACCTATAAAAAAAAGGAGTCGTTCTCTCATAACTTTTTTTACAGTGTTCTGGAAATCCTAACATGTAGTAATATAGTGTGAGAAATTTGGGCAAGAGCAGGTAGACACATGAGGTGACGGAACGATGCTATAATATTTTGATAACAGAAAAAAACGTGAGCTCATATATAAAAAAAAGTGACACAAGTAGGATATTTTTAAACCAGGGTTCTTGCTTTGTTGGGTGTGATGATGTGCTGCTTTATGTTAAATGTCAATTGAGGCGACTGTTTCTAAATTACGTCTTTTATTTTCTCAGGTATCAGCCACGGACAAGGATCGAGGTTCTTTCGGTACTATAACCTACACCCTTGGTTCCAGTTCAGGAAGCGTTTTACCCTTTTCCATGAGCAAGGAGAGTGGCCAGCTTTGCACCAGCACAACTCTGGACAGGGATGACGGACTGGACAAGTTTGATCTAACTGTGACCGCAACAGATGGGGTAAGAACTCATATTCTTTCAAATATTGGACTACTTCTTGGTGCATTGCACACTTATTTTTTCAACAATTAAAACCCAAGTGTTAAAACGCAGTAGTAGACAATAGAATAAGACCAAAAACAGTCCATCTGACTTCATGTTAAAGCACTTAGCCAGCAGCAGGAGGAATATGTGAGCTGGTTTGTGTTTCCTAAAGACAAAACACAGCATAAGTGATCCTCCAAATCAAAGATTTTTTTGCTGTGAGCATGTGTACAGCTGCACTCAAATATTTTGATCAAAACTACAATCTTGTCAGAGTGCTGTTCATGAAAGGCGTACAAGTTTCTGTACAACAGTGTTTTGGAAAACCGAGAGGAACAAGATGTCAAAATAATCAGAGGAAAACAGAAAAATGCAAGGAGGGACAAGGCAGAAGAAGTGGGAAAACAGATGCTTTTAAACTGTGTTTTTATTTAGCTTTTTACAAGGACATACTATTTAAGCTTGGTTTAAACTCCTTGAAAAGAAGTGATGTTTAATAGGACAGAGAAAGACACTTCTCAGAACACATTTAAACGCTTTATTCTAAGAGTCACACTATTAGTCTCATATAATTTTAAAGCATCATTCAAACAGTTTAGTCAGTGGTTCCCAACCCTGGTCCTCGAGGAACACTACCCTACATGTTTTATTTGATTGAATTGGATGAATTGATCATTAACAGGCTTCTACAGAGCTTGAGTAAGTAATTAAATCATTGAACCAGGTGTGTTGGAACAGGGAAACAACTTAAACATGCAGGATGGTGTTCCTCAAGGACCACAGTTGGGAACCACTGACTTACTGTAGATAACTATAACCTGCTGTGGATATCTTTTTGAACAACCTAAATTTTGAGAAAGAACATTTTCTTTCTGACCAGATGTACAAGTTAACAGCTGGTCTGAGAAGAATCAAGACAAAAGTCAACAGTTTCAGTGAATTCTTCTTTGGGGCAACTGTGGCTGAGTGGTTAGAGCAGTCGTCCTCCAATGCAAGAGTTGGGGGTTCGTTCCACCAGCAGGCACATGCCCAAGTGTCCCTGGGCAAGACACTGGCTCATTGCCTCCCATGTGTGTCCCATCAGTGTATGAATGTGATAAAGCTCTGATTAATCTTTGTATAGATCTAGTAGAGTGCTGTATGAATGGGTGAATGAGGGCATAGATTGTAGTGTAAAGTGCTTTGAGTGTCCTGATAAGATAGAAAGGTGCTAAATAAGTACAGTCTATTTACCATTCTTTATAAAACCCACATTGTGGTTAAACTTGCAATTAAAAAGTTATTTACATTTAATTTAATCACGTATCACAAGCAAAAATAGAAGTGGCAGCATGTAAGTCAGTAGTTCTCAAACTGTGGAGCACTCCCTCCTGGGGGGAAGAGGATGTGTAACATTGTTGAATGTTTTTTTTATTTTTTTTTTATTATTATTATTAGTTAGGGACACACAAAACAACAAATTATCTGTTACTATGTTTTTTTTTATTTTTCTCTTTAACAGAGTTTAGCTTTGAAAGGAAAGATTAGTGTTATATCGCTAAAATCAAAGATTTTAGATATGGCAAGAAGGCAACAAATAATGTTTGAGCTTCACTGAACAAAGTGCAGCACTATCTCTTTATGCCATGGTATTTAGGAGGTTTTGGACCCAGGAATGCAGACGTAACACAAGAAGCTCCATCAAAAAAAAAAAAAAAAAAAAGGAACTACCGGTGAACATTGTTTTAACAGAAAACAAAAGGCTGACATGGCAGCAACTTGCAGATGTGAGGCAGAGATCACAGGCATGAAGAAAACCAGACATGGCTTTAAAAAAAAATGCATAATGCTCCACTGACAAAAAAACAGAGAGACTGTTGGAATACATGGAGCAAGACTGATGAACGTAATAAAAAGCATCTGAGCTGATGACAAGCAGGAGCAGGTGAGAGTAAACAGAGGAGAAGCTGCGGAGCAGAGAACTGACTGAGGAGAAAACACATGCACTGATCAGGATGTGAACTTAGGGAAACAGAAATCAAACACAAGAAACCTAGAACATGGTAAGTAAAACATAACGACCACAAATGGAACTAAACCTACTCATATATGCAAAGAAAAAGTCAAAATACACTGATGCTGACGCTGTTTCTGCTGGAATAACAGTGTAATGGCAAATTGATAATGCTCAAAAAAATTGTTTTTGCATGAACCACCAGGTAAATTTTAAGATTAGATTTAATTTAAGATACCTATCCCCTTTTGGCCTTGACCCTGCTAAGATTATCTGTTAGTGTTTTAATCTAGTGGGAATTAAAATGTTTCTCCAAACTGAGGTTATCTTGTCTTTAAAAGCTGTCTACAACAGGTAGGATAGTTGCTCAAACTTTTTACAGACAACTCCACCTCAAACGAACAGAACTATTCCCCTCATGTGAAATCAAAGCTCTCAGTCAGTGTCATAAAGTATTAATCTTAACTGTCGTCATTCCCAACTTGATCCTTGCTGTCTATTTTCTTTGTTTCCACAATCCCAGTTTTTAATAATCTTGTCAAACCAAGAACCACAAATACAGAGTAGTAGGTCAGCTGAAAAATGCACAGAGCAGTTGACTCCAAAGTTAAGGGCTTGTTAAAAAATAATTCATCTCTTTGTTTTCCTCTCACAGTGGATTTACAATTTATTGTTAGAATTTTTATTATAGTCTTAGACTGTCAGTTTTTACCAAGGCAAATAAAAGTAATTGAATGCTGTCCATGTAGAAATATTGTGCAGTTATTTAACTTTACCAAATACATTTTAACATCCATATATCTCAACTATTGAGCAAAAGTCTTTTATTATATCATTACAGTGATTTTATCTGCTTTCATCCAATGCACTCTGCTAACATATCTGACTGCAGAAATAATTTAATTTAAATCAAAATCAGACATTTTTTCTTTGTTCTTTTGTACAGGGTGGTCTGAGCTCCATAGCTCGTGTGAGGGTAACAGTGGTGGACATCAATGACAACCGGCCAACCTTCTACCCAGTTCAGTACACCGTCAGCCTAAGCACCCACAGTGCCCCAGGGACCTCTGTTGTCAAGGTAACAGCCAATGACCCTGACGCTGGAGAAAACGGCAGGGTGACCTATCGCACTGTACCTGGAGGAGGCTCCACTTTCTTCACCCTGAACAAGGACTCAGGTGATTTTATTCAAAAGCAAAAAAACACTAGAATAATTGCATTTCCTGCAAAAATGCAGTTTGAATGCTTATCGCAGAAGAACTTGCTGAAAAGCACCAGCGACCCCCGTGACCCAAAATGGAAGAAGCGGATAAAAGATAATGGCTAGATGGATGAATTTAAATAGGCTTAAAGTAGCAGAAATTACAATGACAAAACTTTAATTTATTTGAAAACAGCAGAAATTTGCTATAATATGCAAATAAATAAATAAATAAAAATTAGCTGAAAAGGTAGAACAAGCGGCAGCACGGTGGCGCAACTGGTAGAGCTGCTGCCTCTCAGCGAGCAGGTCCTTGGTTCAAACCCCGGTCCAGGGGCCTTTCTGGGTGGAGTTTGCATGTTCTCTCCGTGCATGCGTGGGTTTTCTCCGGGTACTCCGGTTTTCTCCCACAGTCCAAAAACATGCATGTTAGGCTGATTGGTAACTCTAAATTGTCTCTAGGTGTGAGTGAGAGTGTGAATGGTTGTTTGTCTCGTTTGTCTCTATGTGTCCCTGTGATGGACTTGCGACCCGTCCAGGGTGTACCCCGCCCCTCACACAGTGATTGCTGGACATGGGCACCAGCGACCCCCGTGACCCAAAATGGAATAAACGGGTAAAGAAAATGGATGGATGGATGGAAAAATAGCTGAAAAGGTAGAACAAGCTTAAATTAGCAGAAAAAAAAAACAGAAAGCATGTTTGCCCAATTAGGCTGAAAGAAGCAGAAATGAGCACAAAAGTGGAAATTACCTGAAAAAAGCTTAAATTAGCATAAAAACAGCTGAAAAGTAGCTACAAATGGCAGAAAAAAAATCTGACATTACCAGAAGGAAGTGGAGAGAGCACATTTTTGCTGAATTAGACTGAAAAATTTTAAATGAGTGCAACAAAACTGGAATCAGCTGGAAAAAAAACTAAAATTAGCATAAAAACAGCTGAAAAAGCAGAAAAGGCTAAAATTTACAGAAATAAGCTGAAAGGAACCTAACAAGCTGAAATTAGCAGAAATAATTTAGATGAAGCACAAAAATGTAGGTAAAAGAAAGGATCTGAAAGGATCACAAGCTGAAATGAGCTGAAAGTAGCAGAAAAAAAATTGCACAAGGAAGCTGAACCAGAACAAAATGTAAAAGGAGCAGTAAAAGGTTGAAAACATATCTAAAGATTTGAAGGATGTCAAATGAGCTCAATTTATTTTCTATGAGAAAAAAATGGCAGAGAAGGCTAAATATTTCAAAAAGCTAAAGTTGCACCAATATCAAGTCATTGCTGAACGTCTTGATCTATGATTTGTTGAAATAGTACAAAATGCCGAAAAATGTACGGAAGAAAAATGGATCACAATAGTGTGAATGCTTCATGAGCACTCACACTATTAGCAGTACTTGAGCTCAAAGCTGACAACAATCTGTGTTCTCATAAATGACCATGAAAGTTGGTATGTGTCATCTATATTTGTTTTTGTAAAAAGCTTTGTTTCTTTAAAGGCAACGTTCAGAACTAAAACTGTTGCAGAGAGCCAGACAAACGTGTTAAACTCATTTCTTCCTAATATAAATTTTATGAACAGCTATAAATAAGATTTTTATTAGCTCGTAAGAGTAGACGTTGTAACTGGACAACCAAAAACAACGAGTCATATTGAGAATATAAACTTCATATATTTAATGAACGTTCACATTTGTGGGTGGGGGGGGGGGAACAAAAATCTACACAGTTTTGTAGCATTTTAAACAACAGCATCAAAATAACCCGCAGCC